ACAGTGACCATCCAATTTAGGGCGATTGCTGAAATTGTTAAATGCAACCCCTAAACCCTAAACCCTAAACCCTAAACCCCTAAACCCTAAACCCTAAATCCCTAAATCCCTAAATCCCTAAACCCTAAACCTAGGGTTTAGGGTTTAGGGTTTAGGGTTTAGGGGTTTAGGGGTTTAGGGGTTTAGGGTTTAGGGGTTTAGGGGTTTAGGGCTTTGTGGTTGAGTTGTTGACCGTTTTGGCTACCAGGCTCGAAAAAAACAGCGTCCCCCCGCTTGCCTTACACCCCGAGACAAAAAACCCTTAGTCCTAAGTTCCCTGAGCTCCCTAAACCCAGCGCCGAATTCTGAATTCCCTTCCACCCTAAACTGGACTCCCAACTCTGACACCTTCCACCCTGAGCCCAACTTCGGCTCAGGGCGTAATGATCTTGTTATTCATGTGGCGGTTGTCCCAGACAGAATTATCGAGCTCAACGGTGTTGCAGGATTGAAGCCCGGAGTCGCGCTGCCTTCTTGTAGCTTCGTGCGGCTTTTTTCGTCGAAGCGATGTTCCGTCAAACGAAACGACCCCCGACAGTGACTCCGAAAGGGTTTAGGGTCCTCAACCTCGAAATCTACACCATGCAGGCAGCGGCTCCTGAAGTTGAGGAATGTCCTGAAGGGTCCTTACTGGAATACTGGCCCTCGGCCAAGGGTGTTATGAGAGTCTTTCGGTTTATGCTTTGAGATCTTGCAAGTTGCGTTGACAAAAAATCCCCAACCGTGAACCCAGCCGAGCCGAAATCCGTAACTACCGTTCCTGAAATTTGGGAAACCCCGAACCATGACCTTCTCCAAACCATTCCCCATGAAACCTGATCAGGGGCCATTGGCATCCGGACAAGTCGGCCAAGCCGGCAGTGGCACAGTTGGAGGCTGGCTGGGGATTTTGGATTTGGAAAGTTCAGGAATGTAGATTTCGGCTACTGTGAGATTTACGATGTTAGGGTTTAGGGTCTTGGAAGCATGTACAGCTGTTTTTGATTTAGGCTTGGGCTCAGTGCCCCACAGGGGCTAGCATAACAATGCGCAGCAAGCTCTTCGAAAGGGACTGGAGCATTCAAGAAAAAGCATCAAGCCACTCAGAAGGGAGAAAATGAGCGAACCGAACGACAGTGACTAGGGCATTTGAGAAGAGTAGCCATCCGCCTGGAACGAAGACCGTTTCAGAAAGAGAAGCAAACGGCTCCAAAGCCAATGCGGTATTCGAGAAGCAGGGGTATACAGCTCAAACGGGATTGTGCCTTTGATCAAGAGCAGGGAGCGGCTCGAAAGACACTCGAAAGGGACTATATAGCGCTTGAAAAGCAGGAGCAAAGAGCCTCATGAGAAAGGGCCACTTGAAAGCGACTAGAGCAAGTCATGAAAGGGAGCAAACATTAAAGTGTTTCAGAAGGAGCGGCAAACTGCTCCAAAGGGTCTCGGGGGCTCTTGAGAAAGGGGAGCAAACCGGGGGACCAGAGATGGGGAAGATCCAAGAAAGACGAGCCAAACCGCGCGAAGAGGGTTAGAGCATTTCGGAAAATTCACCAGGCCGTTTGAAAAGCCAAGGCCAGTCAAGAAAAAGCAGCAACTGCTGCAACGCATTTTGTCCAAATGCAGTGTGCTGCAGAGCGGTCGACAAAGGGAAGCAACCCGATCAACCGGGATTTAACGGCTCGAAGCGGCTAGAACGTTTGACGACGAGCTTCACGCCGCTCGAAAGGGACTGGAGCATTTTGAGGATGAGAAGCGAAGCTGCTAGAAAGGGATGAAGGCGGTTGCGAGGAAATCCAAGCAGCCCAAACCCTGAGCCACGTAAAGTCTTAAATGCAGATCTGGCCAGCATCCTCAGAGGCCCCCAAACCCTAAACCCTAAGCCCTAAACCCTAAACCCTAAACCCTAAGCCCTAAACCCTAAACCCTAAACCCTAAGCCCTAAAAGCCCTAAACCGTGGAGGATGCCTGGGTTGATTGAAACTGTGTTCGGTGAATGGCGTCTGATCTAGTCGTGGGCGAGGTCTGCGGTCTTGGAAACTCCGCTCCATCAAACTCTAAACCTTATAGGGCTTAGGCTTTAGGGCGTAGGGCTGTCTCAGAGCCAAAAACGGGCTTAGGCTTAGGGCTTTAGGGTGTAGGGTTTAAGGTTAATCGGGCTCCGGAGCACAGCAGGCCCCACGTACCAGGAACCTCCCCAGGCTTCTTTGAGCGCTGAAACCCGGAACAAACCCCCAAAGGCCCAAAATCGAAAAATTGAAAATGTCTTCCAAAGCTGTTCAAGACCACCATGCAGAAATTATAAGGTTGCCAAGAAATTTAGGTCCAAACCCTTCCGTCAGCGACAGCGATCCCGCCGGAAGCGGAGGAGGCGACTCGGCGGGTGAGCCACCTTGGTTTGCTGTTCCACGCCAGGCTTTAGCTACTTGTTGCTAGGTTTAGGGCTAGGGCTTCAGGGGCTTAGAGTATCTTAGAGTTCAGGCTGTAGGCGAGATTTGCAGATCAGTGGTCCAGGGCTTGAGGGATTAAGGATCTCGAGATTTGGCCTCTGGTTCTGATGAGTGCTGCGGCTCTTCTTGTCAGTGTTGCAGGAGCCCGAAAACGGAGTTATGAAGGCTTATAACTATAGGGCTGCCTGCAGGTTCTACAGGTTTTTTGAAACTGGAGACCTCAGGAAAACTAAAGCAGTCCGAAGTGCGTTCTCAACGGAACCTTGAACCCGAATCTTCAAATCATCAACCCGGAAACCCCACATGTTACGTAGACCCCAAAAGAGAGTGGGTGTCAAAAAAGACCAATTCTCAAAGCTTGAACCCCCGAGCCCCAAACCCTCAACTTGGGCTATAACGTCTGGCCCCATCAGACCCCCCAAAACCCGACATCCGTTTATCAATGAACAATCTCGCACAAGAGACCTGCAATTAACGAGTTTTGCAGTTTCTGGATGTACAACTGGCAGCAGAGCCTCAGACATTCACAGACCAGTGCGAATAGCACGCTGTTCCTTTTTGAACCTGAGCACAACCCGTTGAAGCATTGAACCATTTATGAACCATTTATGTCCAAAACCCATGAAGCCCTAAGCCCTGAACTCTAGATAGCCCTTACTTCCGAGCCACAAGCTCTCTCAGCCCATATCCTGAGCCCTCCCCGGAGGCCTGCACCCAAGTCCCTTGCTCTTGAAGCCTATTGGACACATTCTTTAAGCCCGGAGAGTTTATGTTGGGAAGGAAACAGTGGCGATCCGGTGCCCGCAGAAGACACGAGCCCCTGGAGGTCTTGGAGTCTTAGAGCTTAAGGGCTTGAGGTTCTGATTACTTTGGTTTTAGTAAGCTCAATATCGTAGGCTTTGGATTGTAGGCTTTAGTGTTCTGGGGTCTAGCAGTCTAGCGTCTGTGGATTTTTCAGAATTCAATGGTCTTGCTATTCATATCACAAGCTCTCGCAACCGTCGTGTTGTTGTCGCGGTCCTCATCTCCGCAAACACTGACTATTAGGACCAAGGCCACTGGTAGCCATTCGTCCTGCTCGTTATGACAAAAGTTCGTCGCTTCATGTATATGTCGGTTATGACAGAGACGGCGCTTATATGAAAGTCATGGTGATGGTGGCGGCTCTGACGAAGGCGATGCTCATAATGAAGATGATGACGGCCGTGGTGGTGATGATGAGGTTGATGATGGTGATAATACTGCTAATGCTGTTTCTGATCCTGCTGCTGATGTTCAAACTGATGATGATGATGATGATTGATCATGATGATGATGATGATGATGATGATGATGATGATGCTGGTGGTGGTGGTGGTGGTGGTGGTGGTATTTCGTGTTTTGTTATTGCAATTGGTGCTGCTTTGTGTTAGTGCTTTAGCTGCAGCTGCTATGTCCTTGTCTCTTCTTGCCACTCCTAGGCCCTAAGACGTGATTTTGCATCAAACATTTACGGGTTCTGTAGCTTACGGGGCTTTTGGGTCTGGGGCGTCCAAATTTCGGCTTCGCAGGCCACCAGAAATCGTCGGCAGCTACTGCACGGAGAATGGCGACGGAACATGCTTCAGGAATAGCCGGGGTCTTCATTTTAATTCTTGTTTTCTGCACTTTGAGACCAACACCTTGCTGCGAGCCGGACTCGTAACTTGGGAGTTCTATGCCTACATCGATGGACTTGACACCTCACTAGAGGCTGGTCAGCTGTTCGTGGCGCAGTCTGAGATTCGTTTCTATGGCGGGACGGTGTGCATCGTGCCAGCACGTGCTGCATGCCCTGATGGCTTACCACTCACTCCAGTCGCACCATCGGAATGTCCTTCTGAAGACATGTTCCTCAAAGGATGTGACCTGGCACAACCTGGCGAGTTTTGTGAGGCTACAGGCGTGTGCGATACGAGAATCGACCTTGTCAACTGCGGCGTCGACTCCGCTATGCCACGAGGTGTCTACAAGAAAGGCTTGCCTGCGACAACTTGGACCACAACAAGCACCACCACAGTAACAGCTACGTCCACTTATGTTGTTGACGGTTTGTGGCGATACTGGGGGCCTTGCCAGGTCAATGGTGCATGTCTCAGCAGTCCTAACTTTCCTGATGCCTATGGCGCACATGAGATCTGCGTTGCTTCCCTGCCAGACTTTTCCGTTCTAAGAGTCAACGCATTTGCGACCGGGACCTACAGAGATTTCCTGACAGTGAATGGCAAGCGGTACAGTGGTCCCCGGTGGCTGGGACCGAAAACCTTTGTGCTCCATTCCAAGCTCTCCTGGAGATCTGACGGACAGGCTGGCGGAGGATGGGAGCTGTGTGTGCAGGATTTGCCTTCATGTGTCGATGGCTTAGAACTGAAGCCGGTTGCTGTTCCAGACTGTCCTCCGGGCACAGAAAGTCTTCCGAACTGCCGCAGTGCCGCTCCCGGAGAGTTGTGTGAAGGTGATGGAACCTGTGGCACGAGGACAGACATAGATAACTGCTATGACGCCAGCTATTCGCAACCACCCAGGCGTGATGTGTACGAGAAGTTCTTAGGAAGCACGAGAACAACAACAACTAGCCAGAGCTTCACTTTGACATCAACGACGCTCACAACTGCTACAGCCACATATGGGGACGTTGTGGATGGTTGGTGGCGATACTGGGGGCCTTGCCAGGTCAATGGTGCATGTCTCAGCAGTCCTAACTATCCTAATGCCTATGGCGCACATGAGATCTGCGTTGCTTCCCTGCCAGACTTTTCCGTCGTGAGAGTCAGTGCATTTAAGACCGACACCTACAACGACTTCCTGACAGTGAACGGCAAGTGGTACAGTGGCCCCCGGTGGCTGGGACCGAAAACCTTTGTGCTCCAAACGAACCTCTCATGGAGATCCGACGATCAGAACGGCTACGGCGGATGGGAGCTGTGTGTGCAGGATTTGCCTTCATGTCCCGATGGCTTAGAACTGAAGCCGGTTGCTGTTCCGGACTGTCCTCCGGGCACGGAAAGTCTTCCGAACTGCCACGGTGCTGCTCCCGGAGAGTTGTGTGAAGGTGATGGAACCTGTGACACGAGGACAGACATAGATAACTGCTATGACGCCAGCTATTCTCACCCTCCAACTCGTGACGTCTATGTCAAATCGCAGGGGGTCGTTGCGACAAGCACTACTCAGACCGCGAGCACCACACACACCAGGACATCGACAGTTTCCACCACAACTCTTTCGTGGAAGCACGAAGGCCCCTGGAGTCACGTGGGGCCCTGTGCCGTTCGTGATGGATGTGCTGCGAGCCCTGCCAGCGGGGAGACGTCAGAGGCCGAGTGTTCCTTCGTCCTCCCGAGAGGCAGCACGATCAAGGCAGCGTGGTTTGCAGGGTACGAGTGAGAGGCAGAGAGCAGACAGCTCTTTGCTGAGAGCAAGAAGAGCAGAGGGCTCATGGACGCCACATGCTCAAGTGTCGAGGTTGCTGAGGTTGCTGTGAAGAGGGGAGGTTCAGGCTTCAGCACAAAAAGGACTGGACTAAACCCCTGGAGAGAAGACACGAGCAGAGCATTTCAGGACTTGAAGCCCGAAATCCCAATTAGAAGGCAAAATCCTGAGCCCTTATTCAGGCCCTGAGCCATAAGTGAGGTGGAACAGCTGAAGCTTCTTCGCTACGACGGCGATCGTCTGGTGGTCGATGGTGTCAGCCGCTAGACCAGCAAGTCCTGAAAAAACTGTGCTCAGGGTTTCAGGCTTCAGGGTTTATTAGGTAGAAGGATCGATCTCATAGAGACTGTCAAGAGACCCTACCTAATTCTTGAACCTTGGAAGGTAGCCCCCAACGCTCAACCGAGTGCCTGGCTTCAGAATGTTGGCCATGGACTTTCGGCGGGATCACGGCTACAACTGCCTTCCTCCGTAGACCCAGGCAGACCCTCAGCGGAACATCTCGGAACCCTACTTGCTTCATATCCTCAGGTCTTGGCAACTCTGTGGCTGGCAAAATCCTGCCCGTCACATCTGGCATCTTCTTCAAGCCTCACTCCTCCAGGAGAAGGCATTACCTTCAGGGTCGCCGAAGTTCGTTTGAGATCTGTGTAAACCATCCCAAATGCTGGGATGGACTTCCCCTCGTCCCCGTGGAGTGGGAGGAATGTCCCCTAGGATGGAACGTGCCAAGCTGCCTTGGCTCGGAGGCCGGGGAGCTCTGTGAAGCCAACGGGGAGTGCTTCACCCCTGAGAAGCTCATGAACTGTGAGGGCAAAAGCATCTATCGAAAGGCCAACGGTACAACAAGAACCAGTACAACGAGCACAGCTTCAACGACCTTCACTACAACCGGCTCCACTACTACAGCCACCGTCGCGTTTTCCTTCGGAGCTGTGAGAGGCCCCTGCAAATTGTCTGGGGCCTGTGTTCAAAGTCCAAACTACCCTCTGGACTACGAGAGCAACGAAGGCTGTGAGGTGTTCTTGAATGAGCCATCTGTGGCGACTTTCACTGAGTCGTCGGGATGTTTCGACGACGGGGAAAATCGCCATTTCTACATCGACGGCAATCGCTTTCTTGGTCGGAGGAGGCGCTACAGCGGCGACCGCATGATGGTATTGTCTCGGGTCCGGTTTGTGCCAACAGGCAGAGTGCATCGAGTTTTTGTCATTTGAAAACCATGTGCTGCTTCTTCAACTTACAGCCCCTCGGCCCCCAAGCAGGCCTTGCTGGCCGCCGTCGCCGCCACAGCGGTTGGTGCTCCGACGGTTCAACGTATAATCCTTCTACATGGAGGATTTGCTGGGCGGCTCCGGTAGAAGGCCAGGGATTGCACTATCCTAGGATCCTGCCTGGGGGCCCTGCCAAGGGTGAATCACATACTCACAGGGAATTACGAATTTCAATTTCGAGCAACCTTCAGGTGATCCGGAGGCTCGCAGACGACGGGAAGAAGTGCGAAGCAGCAGGCGCCGAGAAGAGATCTTCAGCAGCAGCCGGAGCAGAACAACAGAGCCACCATCCAGCGGTTCATTTTTAGACAACATCGGTGGCATGACCGTGCCCATCTTTGTCGCCCTTTCTTTCCTCGTCCTCAGCTTCGCGATCTATGCGACGTGCCCTGCCTGCCTCTAAGGCTGAGGAGTCTCCTGGCAGCTTCGCATCTAGCAAAGATGGAGGACGTCCATGTATGTGGTGAAGCCAAGGATGAGTGTTAAAAGGAGTACCCCCATGAAGCATAGATGATGATCCGACAACGCTGAAAGTCTCTGCTTTCATGCTGAGATTGGCTGTAGCACGACATTAACAATAGTCGTTGGCAGATAACAGTGCGCGTAGGGTCGTGTTGGTGGTAACAGTGCACACAGCAAAGACCGTCTTACAGTGCACCCACATGTACAAAGACTTCTGCGACGACGACGACGACGAGGACGTTGTGGCGAGTAGCCGTAACAGTAGCAGTGGGACGACTGGCAGTGGCAGTGGTGGTAATTAGTCGTCTCGCCATCACGATTTGTACCATAGGTAGTGGTACCCGCTTTAGCCCTTACCGGTGCAAGACTAATCTGAGGAAGAAAGGATGGGCGAGTGGACGGAGCCTTGACGCAAGGAGCCGCCAGGCCGGGCATGCTTCGGCGATGCTCATGATGATGGGGAACTGGCGATCGTTGCCATAGCAGTGATGATGACGAGACTGTCTTTGTTCTCTGAGATAGTGGATGGGTTGGTTAGGAAATTCGCCATCCAGTCGGTCATCTAATTGGTGCTTCCCGGCTACATCATTCGCACCGTGGCTAGACACGTGATTGCGTAGTTAACACTTGCTATGCTCAACTGGAGCGTTCATCACCACATGAGCCAACGCATCAGACGGCGGCGAAACAAGCATCGCAACTACCAACCAATCACTCGAACACTGCTCGACATCAGTCTTTTTTCTGCCCTCATGGTGAACAATCCACCTCGTATCATGGTCTGCGAGGTCTGCTTCAACACTGTAGCTTGGAAGCCCTGACACTGCCAAGTGCCAAGTGCCCTCATGCCTGCATCCAATGTGGGCTGAAGCGAGTGTGAGACGGAATGATAAGGAACAGATCGGAAGTAACAGAGGCGGGATTCGAAGCACGGGGAAGAGGAAGGCGTGATTGCAAATCGAGCTTCGCCCCCACAAGTGTCCACACAAACGAAACGACGACCTTCACACAATCAAACAAACCCACCGCAAAATAGCCTCGGTAGTGTGACTTGCCTTAGCGCAAACATGGCCTGTGGATGGGCAGATGGGTCAACTGGCGTGCGGCTTCCTTCTCTGGGTTGTTTGCCTGCCCTAAACGGTCTAAACGCCAACTCTGAGCCCAGAACTCTTTTGGAGCTTAACACGAGCCTCAAGTGTTTGGCATGTTGCAGAACCCATCATTCGGCCGAGCTTGCAGATACCCGACGGCCGCATGCAACCTTTCTGGCGCTGAGTTGAAAACCGGAGCCCTCAGCTGCATGTGGCATCCGGACGAGGTCTGACAAAGAAGATGGTCCGGAAAGCTTGATCGAGGACCGCCTCCCTGCGTTTTTGACGAGCTGGCATCAGCATGCCCACGTTATGGAGATGAGCCTCAAGGCCCCCGGAAGGCGAGTTGAAGCGAGCATTTCAGAGTGGGTGTAGGATTTTGGGGGGAACTGCAGCCACCTGAACCCTAGCCCCGAAGTCCCGAGAAACCCAGACCCGAACTCTAATCTGAACCCCGTCGTTTGAACGAGCTTTGGGTTTCCTCCGTAGCTGAGTAGATCACCTTTAACCTTTTGAGGCTTATCGAACCCTACCATGATTGAAAAGGTTAAACCTTTTGGGCTAGGGTACTCAGCCCCTAGGCCCTAAGTTTCGAGAACCGCAGCACTATCTTCTAGGATTGAGACTAAGGGCTTACAATTTTAGAGCCTAGGGCTTGATCTAGGGTTCAGGAAGTCAGAGTTAGGAACTATGCGATTGGAATAGAACAGTTGCGAGGGTTTCGATTTAATGGGTTCGGCCTGAAGCTTATCTCAACCGTCTACGGCTCGAAACTGCGTGGGGCAGCAAGAAGCCTGGCCCAGCAGTGAAGCCATATTCGTTTTTGAAGCTTTAGTAGCAGGGGAGCGATGTTATATGAGAGCACATGTAGGATCCAGATAACTCTAGGTGCAAAGCCTTCGGAGTCACAAGAGAGACTTTGTCATGGCCATGAAATTGTACCACTCACACTGGCTGGAGTTTGTTAAAGTCTACACCCCCAAGCCAGCATGGCGGGTCGTGTCTCCAACCGGAGCCGATACCTGCCAATAGCGGAAATAATATGAACAACAAGGAGGGCGGGCTCTTTATTCCCTGGTTTAAATGATGCTTTTGCGCACAAGGTCGCTAGCGTCGGATTGAAGACATTTTCTAATTCGAGATGCGCGAAAGATTCTTTTCAAGAAATTTGATTAATAATATAATTTATATATATATTCATGGATCAAATAATCATGAGAAATAGATTCAATAGTTCATATTTCGAACATCTTCTGATGCGATATACTACTAAAAGCGAATCTGAAAATTTAAAAAAACCTCGAGAATTTTTAGATATGAAATAGATTATAAATTTATCTTGAAATTAGGTTTGATTTTGATTTATTTAGTTTTCGAAAATATTCATGATCTATTTATATTGAATATAAAATCTATAATTTCTTCTAATAAATATTATTTTCAGATATGCGAATATACGAATATGGTTTAGAAAATGATTTCAATATAAAAAGAAGAAAAAAATTAAGATATATTTAAAAAATAATTATAAAAAATGGAAAAAAAATAAAGATTTTTTTAGCTAATTATTAGAATGATTTTTAAAAGGTATGCTAAAATTTTTATGCAAAAATAGAAATTATTTCAAAGAATATATTTAGAATTCTAATCGAGAA